CCTAAAACGGCGGTGGGAGCCGTAGAGCCTCAACATGACGTAATTGCAACTCACGTAGATCCTGCGGCGTAACTATGTAGAAGCAGAAGTTGGGCGGTTGGATGAAGAGCTCCATAACCGCAGAGGAATCGTATCAGGATCGGATCAATACCATGAACGGGGAAGGAATTAGAGAATCCTAAATATGCCAGGGGGTCCCACTTGCCTCCCTTTTATTCCGGCCGATAGCGTGAGTTGCCTCGATATCGGGAACGTCCACGTACACCGGGCATCATAATGATCGTTCAGTTTACTTGGTGATCTATCATCGAGCGGGGCCGCGGACGCCAAGAATCTCCGACCGCGTACGGACCAAACTTTTTTACTTATTCATAAAAGCCGGAGTTCCAAAATAAAGAGCGAACATCGCTCGCCAAACTGAAAACTCCGGTAGAACGCAGGGAGCCGAGCCGTAACCGAGCGAGCCACTGGTCGGGTGAGACGAAGCTCGGCAACAACTCGGCAGCCGCCTCGGTGAATTCCGTTCCGTGAGTGAGCCCCAAAATTACAGCTTGCCTCTAACTTGCTCAGTCGCTCGTTGCCGGTTCGTTCTCTCACATTCGCTGCTTCTACCAGTACTGCGACTCGTTCTGCTACAAAACTGCTGCCTGCTAGTGAATAAGATCGGTCGGGCAGCCCATAGCGAGGAAGATAGACAGGATCGACCGACCGACGGACAAACGGACAGACAGACAGGCGACTAAACAGCGAAAAGTTGCTTGAAGTCTTTTCTCTGGTGAGGGGAGCCTCTTCCTCCGAACTTATGCGTCCGCAAGAGCTCGAGAATCAACGATTCAGACAGAAATGCTGTGAGTAAGTAAGTAACTGATTCGCGGACAAGCTGTGACTGAACGGTACGGCGACCACTGAGGTGACTGATGGTTCAGCTTCGAAATCCGCATCGAACTCTTCGGTGGGAAATCGGACTCAGGGAACCGAGGCATAGAGCGGCCGTCCTCACCAGGCAACTCTAGGGAGTTCGAAACGATGTTGATGTCCACCAAATCCTCCGAAGAAATGGTCTCGGTGTAGGTCGTCAACGGGAAAATTGATTCAGCTTGGATCGGGGACATCACCTATCCCAATCTGACTGCCTGATGAGCGCCTCGACTCATTTCATCACTCTGCCCACAGCTTCGAAATGGTATCTCTCTTCCCTGCGTGTTGCATGAATGCATGCGAGGTAGAAGCCCTCCATTCACAAACGAAGATTTCGCCAATTTTTCACAAGGTTCGCTTCTTCAACACACGGCCCCGATCCATCAGTGACTGATCAGACATCAGTGGTGCGTTCGTTTCTGCTCTCTTCCTCCATCTGTACGTTGCTGGTGCTGCCATTCCCGAGCCGAACGCCGCCGTTTCAAGCGACGGAAGAGAAAAAGGAATGGAGGAGAAACAAATCGGCTGACAGCAGGCACTTATAGGCGTCCCGTTGCTGACTGAACTAACTTACTACCGCTGGTGTCGAATCCGGTTTTAGCGCAGCTCGATCCGAACGCTCGCCCGAGAGGGAGTCTGTGTGCACTCTAGCGCCGGCATGACAACAACACTGAGGTCTCGGCACGGACGTTCCCAAAAACGTGTTTTCGAAAATTTTGATATCGATCCCCTGGACCATGATCTTCATGAACCGAACCGCGAAATGCCGGACAGCTTGATTGACACACCGAGCGATGGACCGATTGGAGAAGGGGGGAAAATTAATGACAAAAAAATTAATCGACAGTGCGCTCGAGAGCGATTATTCTGGCGAAAAGGAGTGACTGTGATGTAATCAATCGCTTGTTTCGTTTGAAAAAAATATGTCCAACGCTCCATCGGTTTGCAGTATCGTGCGTGCTCGTGGGGAGGCAACCGAATGACGGGACACGAAATTATGAAAACTAATTACTGCATATAAGAAAATTCGTGGGGAGAGAGGCCGTGCTGTTCCGTCGGTACGACCATTTACCATCGGAGCGTCTTCGCCGAATGAGCTGAACGCCTCGTTTCGTTGTTGGTCACTCCGGTATTGTGCTTGGGGAAGCGGCAACAATAGACGGGACGCGATAAAATCTATCCGTTTTGTCTCTTGCCATCTCCAGCTTGTTCCCCTCGACGAGGATTGGAGCCGATCCTCGCCAAGATGTCCGATCTTGACTGTTACGATAACAACGATGGTTTGGAATGATGACGCCGGCGATAGTGGATCATAGGTCAGTGGGTCCGCAACGCGGCGGAGATTCAGCTGCTCCTCTGAGTTCGGTCCCCAACTCCTGTGGAACACGATGCATCGACGAGAAAATTAAAACAAGTCTGTCGACTCCGAAAATTCCATTCGAGTGGGCGGGTGCGAGCGCTCAGTGGAGCGGCAGGAACAGCTGATAATGAGGAGAAACTCATATGGAATGTATAACCAAAGAAAAGATGCGGGCGCAGCAGTACAAGTGACGCGGAGCAGAAGCTCGGCACAACGATTACTGTATTGGGCGTACTCTCGTTTCGAGTCCAATGGCTGTTCTGGTACACAACTGATCGCCAACCATAATCGGCATCACACATATTCGCTTCGCAGCCCCAAATGCGGGCCATGAATTATGGAGAGGCAGGCAACGACCGCCGACACTGGAACGGAGCATCAATCGCCCTTCGGTACTCGGTTGGCTTCGAAAGCAATGCCGAACAGTGAATTTCATGTCGGCTGACAACTCTGACGCCAAGAGATTCCCTCAAGCTCTCGTGTGTCCATCAACGCTGCGGCCCCGCCGAGCTCGAATGCGTCGATTGCGCGGTACGAAATCGGAATAATTTTTTTTCATTCTCGAGTACCCGAGAAAAAATGCAGTGATGGTTGGGATCTGAATCGAGGAACGTTTTCCGGCATAGTGCCGATTTCCATTTTTACAAATGCGTCTTTTTTTCCGGCTCAGAGGCGAAGTAGCTGCCGAGCTGAAAATTGGTGGAATTCTCATTAACGAACCCACCGCAAGCGGTGTAAACGTTTCGGGCCGATATTATGAAACGCTCGTTCAGAGAGATGAGTAGCAACAGAATTATGTGACAAATTTCGTAAAGTGATGAGCTCTGCCAACGCAGGTTGAACAGAGGGCTGATTATGAGCTACGTGAGTCTCTTGGCAGCGACTTCGAGCGAAGGCGAACGACACCGGAGCTCGCACGGACACGGACTGGAAATCCCGCGAGCCCCGTTCGAGACTGAGGCTTCGAGCTCTAGCCGCGATTACCCGATGTCGATGCCAATTATTCCCGTAAGACCTTAGAATGGACTATAGGACTGGGTCCGAGTAGGATCAATAGCGCCGGCGAGGATGATCCCACTTGACCGTTGTCGGGCACGAGTCTCCGTCCAGAACTACGAACGTGTCTCTCTCATGGTCGATTCCATATCCAATATTACATAGTCAGCGTTCGAGTGTCAAGAAGTACGTGCGGTTGGCAGGCTCGCGGAGCGGAATCCTGATCGCTGGGTGAATATATTTTACTGTCGAAAAAAACACGAGGAAACTCGTTGCAACGAACGCGTTGGGCCGGCATCCCACTCGTAAATACGAATCCGAATAAACGTAATTATCCAGGAGCGTTTCCCCGGGCCCTCGAGCGAAGAGCTGGAATGAGTGTCGTAGCCACGAACTCTGTCGTGCAGAGGCTTTTTTGCGCGATTCCCGACCAGTCGATGATTTTCCAAAGGAGCTGCACATCCTTACATCCCTCCATCGGAGCTCGTCTCTCCAGGAAATCCTGGGAAAGAGCGAAGATGATGAACTAAAGCTCCTCGTATGCTTGAGCTGCCGCCTCGAACACCCCCGTAAGCACGACGCAGCTGATCATTCGGAACTTCACTTTCGATTATATGGATACCGCAGGAGTCAATTACCGGATCGAGCTCCTCCGAGCTCGTCGTGTCCCGACCAGAGGAATGTTTCGGAGACTGATATCCAGCGCGGAACTATGGGGATGTCTTCACCGCAGTTTCCGTCAAGCAGCACTCCATGCTCTCCCTTGCACCAGAAGCGGAAAACTTCGCGTCTGGTCGGTCAGAAGACCTAAAGGTGACGACGACCGTCGGTTCAAAAGCCGTATCTTCCGGACGAACCCGACCGATACGGCATCCAAATCATGCTCGAGATATCGGCGCTTAATAAGAGAGAAGAGCCCCAGATGAGCAACAACAAGGGGAGAGCTTCACTCTCGTGGATTGACAAGAGAACGGGTGGTGTCGTGACTAATGAGCTGCCTGACCCTGAGATGATGACAATGGCCTGACGCTGATTTGCGAGGCAACTTTGAAAACGAAGGAAAAATCAACGTCCCCACCGACAATCACTCATTATACCAGTTGGTCCCTCATCACCGCTCCAAGGGAGACCAGTTCTACGAATTTTCACCGCCGGGGACTGCTGGAATTTATTCTGCCACGTCGCGATTGCAGAAATTGAGCAGAGAGGAATGTGTATACATTCTGCAACAAGCCAGTTAAATCCGAGGAGAATGACGTCCTTCAAACCAGCGGTCTCAATCCATTCGAAAGAAGTGAGGTTCTGGGGGAAGACTAGGCTGATGATAGCTTCTTCATTACTCCTCAATATAGTGCTCTGCCTACGAAAGAGATGGAGCTACCCGGATTTCCTACAACTGCCTGCCTGACGCGTTCGTCGTCAAATCGGACTCTATGAAGTAACTCGATCAGAGTGCATGTAATGAATATCGCGCGAGGAGGACCGAAACGCGATCGTGGAACATGAACCATCGAATTCCGCTCTGCTTCCGATGAGATCGCGCCCCTCTTTGTGCCTGTCTCCCGTGCTCAACGACTGATGGAAAGACCGTAACAAAAGGGACGTGAGGAATTCAGACGAGACGAGACGCACGCCAACGATAGTCGTGGTAAAAACAAAAATCATCAGCAACAACGAGGGTAACGTCACTCAATCCGAAAGATATTTTGTTTTGCTTTTCAAAACGGTACGCGCGCCACGCACACGCACAGAGCTACGAGGAGGCTGCGAATTAGCATTCTCGTTTTTCGTTGAACGCCCTATTTGAATCCAGAATGGACCTCCTCGAGCTGAAATTTGTTTCGAAGTTCTCCGAGATTTCCCTGTGTGCTGACGACGAGCTAATCCGGGACATACGAACGCCGTGGGGGAAGTTCACGGTCGCTGTCCAGGGCGATCCTAGGAAACCGCCTCTACTGACGCTCCATGATGTGGGTTTGAACCACGTAACGAACTTCAAGCCGTTCTTCAATGTGCCAGAGGCTGCTCTCTTAGTGGAATCTTTCTGCGTCTTCCACGTTAACGTGCCGGGACAAGAGACGTGCTGTTCCACGGTCACCGCGTGCCCCGACGTTTCGAACTTGTGTTCCGGCATCGAATTCATCTTGAGAGAATGCGGTATCCGTTCCTTCATCGGTATGGGATACGGGGCTGGGGCTTTCGTTTTGAGCATGTTCGCTCTGCGAAACCCGGACCTCGTGAGCGGCTTGATTGTTTTGAACGCCACCGCCGAGGTAGCATCATGGACCGAATATGGTTATTTCTCGATGACCGCGGCAGGCATCAGATCGGCCGGGCTCAGTCAGAGTGCGTTGGATTACCTCCGTTGGTACCACTGCGGATGTTTGAACGGACAGAGCGAGAAGAGTGATCTCATCCGGACTTTCGATCAACGACTGCTCTCCCAGAATCCGCAAAACCTAGCCAATTGGATGAGCTCCTACATGAAACGAAAACCTCTCGAGCTCGAGAGAGACGCGATGAGAGTCATGGAAGTGCAAAACAATTTCCGATGCCCTGTTCTTATGATTGTCGGAAGAGAGTCGCCCCACGTGGAACACACTCGAAGGATGTTCGCGACATGCGATCCACGACTCGCGACTCTACTGGAGATCCGCAACTGCAGAGTCCCCCTCGACGAAAAACCGATGAAGGTCGGCTTCTAACAATGAATGTTTATTGCTTCCCCTTGCTCGCTGGCAGACTCGCGCAAATATCGATGAAGGCTCTGAAAAACTCGAGACGATCCCTCCCTTTACAGGTACTGGAAGCCATGTTGTATTTTCTACAGGGTCTTGGGTACCCCCTGACGAAGATCCGAATGTTGTTCTCCAAGGGAATACAGAACCGTTCTAGCATAGATTCAGCTCGTGGGTCGGAAAGTTGAACAATCCGCTAGCATCGATTACCTCAGAGTTCGCAATAAAGAAAAGGTCACAGTCAAGCCTCCCGGATTGAACGAAGATACAGTCTGAAATGAGCTCTATCACGAGGGTGGATATACGCAGTCAGTCCTCTCGAAGGTGTCCCGGCCCCACCTTCGAAATGGGCTGCTTCCGATAAAAAAGGCATTCCACCCGAGTGCTCCTCTGGTTTCAATAAAACTATTCTCAATCGATTCGTGCATAATCATGAGCTCGATAAGCGCATCTCTTCATTGTAGCCTTGTCGAGCGCGGAGTTCCGGGGAAACGATAGTTGCCCAACAAAAATGGCTGTGACTGACTGAGTCTGTTCATTACTAGCCGCATCAGGTGACCCAATCGACGCTCACGGCCGTGTCTGCCAGATCGATGAGACGCTCCTCAGCTGCGCAAACCTCACACCATTTAGAATCCTTGATCGCGCGATAAATGTTCAGAGTAATTCACTCGCTGACGGTGGACTCAGAAGCCCCATTCAGGGAATCGGTCCGCGGGCTGATATCGACATTGTGAGAGTAGGAAGGGATACCGATAGCTCCCGCAACAACGAAAAAAAAAACCCTCTGTCTGGGGAATATATTATTGCTTGGGGCAGGAAATTCCGGCAACCTTTACCATCTATCGGGGAGACGAGAATTCAACTTCTGCCAAATTTGAGCTCAGGCCAACGCAGTCCCTGGTGTCAGAAGAAGAACTTCGCTTCACCGCATCGTTCCCCACGCAATAATTGGTGTCGATGGGCCTGACCATATCCGACGGGCAATCCCCAAGCCTCTAAGTCCCCCATTCTGGTGAGGCAAATAAGGGCCATGAATACAGGGAGCCGAGGCGATCCTCTTCGACTTCTCCACGGTCTAGGGAACGTTGCGCACTTCATCCATACCCAGCGAGTTCGACGCTGGAGCATAGTCGGGAAGTGACTTACACTCTTGTTCGAGAATTAAGGAGCAGCTTTTACTCGAGGGCAGGAATCCTGCTCCGCGAAAACCCATTCGGAGGGACAGGTTGAACTTTCGCGGAACTACTAGGGAAGAACCGAGTGGCTATGGCGATCCCTCGCAGAAAGATAAAATCGAGTGCATGATCAGGCAACAGCGGCGGCCGAACCCGAAAGAATTAACTTCGGCTTTCTCGCGATAGGCCTGATAGCCATAGGGGTGCACTCCGCTTCGCGTCGATCTTCCGCCAAGACATGTGCGGACGAGACAGTCGTCGGCATCCGTCACCGAATCTTATGGAGTAGGACTTGACGAGTAGGATATTCTCGATTCTTGTGCAAAATAGCGGCCGGAAAGCGATTGCGAGAACCTGAGGACAACCGCTGTGTAAGCCAAGGACAAGGGTGTGACTGTCGACGAGGCGTATTTCTCTCCCCGGTTTTTCTCTCCCTCGTTTTGTTTTCCCAAGTCCGAATGGCGCGAGGAGCATCCCCTGAAGGTCAGGTACCTCGCGGCGCATGCCCGCTTTTTTACGCTTCGGGTTACGAGGATATTCTCTCCCCATCGCGGCAAGAGGGAGGTTTCCGGGGCTGAGAGTTCCCGTTTTTCTAGCCAGTCGCGTTCTTGTGATTCATGCTCTCTAATCTATCTGCGACGTTATTCCGACGCGTGAGACATATTATATCGATCTGGAGACGAAGGATATTCTGTCTGCGCTCGTTGAACTTAATTTCTCTTCCAGGGTCACAACCCGCGAGGGGCTATATCGGAAAACTTGATGGGCCTTGCCGTGGAGAATTCTTCAACTCACAACGAACGACTACCAGGAAGCGGCTTCTCCCGAAAGTAACAGACGCCTAGGGAAAGAAGAATCAACAGTTTACGGTCATCTTTAAATAATAATAGTGTGTTTTATTCACTTTTTCTTTTCTCTCAGAGAGCGGAGCACATATAAGCAGTTTCGCCGCTCGAAATTTGACTTGCTATTTTCGTGAGCCTTGACATCGCTTTGGACCGCGCCACCGCTGCCAAAGTCCTGCCCCGTCCTATATATTATAGCTAGCCAGGGAGAATGGTAGGATTTGTGAATTCTTCATTCTTTGCTTCGTCATCGAAGTTTGCGACAACGTGAACGACGTCGTGGTCGTTGTTGGTGATGTCGTATAATAGTTTTTTCTTGTATCATATAGCTATTCGAACTCTCAATAATAGTACTGCAACACAATGACACCCTGTCTTGTGATCCGAGTTCAAGGAGTGTCCAGCGAACAGTTGGTAAGGGGACTGCTGACTGGCACTCGCTTTTCAAGGAACGATGAAATGAGACTCCTAACAACACAACATTCTCTAATAATGTCTATCGAAATGTCCACACTGGCCGCCCTGCTGCCGACGTGTCTGTCAATTTTCTTCTTTTTTTCGCTTCAGTCACGTGGAGACTATGTACAAAGGTTCTTCCTTCTTATTTGCGTTGGAAAATTTCTCAGCCAGACTCGATCGGTCCGCATCATAGCATGGTCAGCGAGGGCTCCACATTCGTGTGTATGTCGTGGCATGCCGCGCATCCGGAGTTTCGCTTGCCCCAATTTTCCTCGCTTGCTCCGAGATATACAAATATCTTCGTCGGATCGGCGATTTTTTTTCCGTTCTCGCTCGTCAAGCCCGTTGTGTTTCTCTCCCCCATCGGGAGCTCGTCGAAGCTAACTATAAAGTCATCATGGTCTCAATGGTAATCGTAATAATAATTATCATGCTGATGGGATTAATCAAATTGAACTAAAGTATGTATAAAGAACCGAAATATAAGACTCGATGGCGTCTTCCGCGAGGAAAGACAATGGTCGACAACCCGATCTCTGCGGACCGATCGCGACCTGAAATACCCTGCATGCGTTTGCCCGAAGCGTCGCAGCGTGTAGAACGACGCTTCGAGTGATTGCACTCAACGAGGAGGCAGATGTCGACTTCAGTTCCTCCAGCTTCATCACCGTCATCATCACCAGGAGGGGTTGTCGAAGTTGATGTTGTTCTTGTTGTTGTTAGTTCGTTCGACTGTGGGTTAGATTCGACACGACACCTTTCGGTCATTAGTTCAGTCAATCAATTCCGACTGTCGGATCCCAGGCGCGGTTTGCTCTTTCACTAGTAGGTAGTAGTTATACATCCACAAAGCACGGGATCATATGATACAACGGGTTTTACATTTTCGCTTCTGAACGCCGGACGCCTCTCTGTTTCTGCACGTTCGGCCCGCTGTGCGGAAATCGCGAATTCCCGCCAGGAGCTGAACTGGAATCCGAAGGCGCCCGGTTTTCACTCAGCAACATCTCAGCCAGGGTAGAATCGTCTACCAAGTTGGGGGAGCGGGGCATTGGGAAAAGGGGTGGGGATGTTCGATGAGTATAACATAAGACTTGTTCGCTCACTAAACAAATCATGATTATAGTGCGATTCATCTCAACCAATCGACGTCGGCGGCTGCTTCATCTGTTCGAGCAGGCTGATCGATCGAGAATACGCTCCGACTTCCGCGATTTCACCCTCAATTTGAAGCGCTTCCAATCCCTTGCTTCCAGCTGTGGAATCTCGCGATGTCCCTCGACGAGAGTCTCACATTCCATTTCAACGAATACCTCTTCAGAGAGATTTCAGAATCACGTCAAGTTTCTTATCGTTCTCCGTATTGAATCGACACATCGGTGATATCCTCCCGATTACTTCCTTCGGCGAATTTTCGAATATCTGTGCAGCCAACGAATCGATTGGTCGATGACAGATCAAAGAAATCCGGTTGTGAGTTTACTGAAGCGTCTCTCTCAGCTGAGCATCCAATCAGCTGATTGGGCAGTCTTTCCATCGATAAATCAATTACTTCGGATGGAATATTCCAATCAATCAATACGTCAATTATTTGATGAATCGATTGATCGATGGAGAACATCGGTAGACGCCTCGTGACGACTTGAAATATATATCACATGAAAGGTCTTCGGGATGATGTGTCCAAGTGATCCCTCGGGCCTTCGACGAGGTCTGCACTCCCGTCCATCGTCCATCTGCCCGATCGACTGACCGACCGACAGACGGTTTGACTGACCAACGTCCGTGCGTTTGCAGCGCCGACCTCGTTGAAGGCCAGCCCGACCCAAGACCTCGAGAAGCACCGTAGTTCAGTTGGATCCCAGCTCGATCGCGTCGAGTGGAACGAATAGAAGTCGCTTGCATCGATCGAAAGAGAACTCTCGTATTATCCCCTCGCTACACACAATCTACTTGTATGTTGTTAGAATGGGCGATAAGCTCGATATCTGTCCTTGACGATCGTCGACGCCTGCTCCAGACATTTTTCATCTTCATGTTGGTATTTCATAGAAATCTTCTCCATTAGTATGTTTTCTGTCGCTGCCCGCCTGGCTGGCTGGCTTGATGGCTGCCTGGCTGGCTGGCTTGCTTCACCTCCATACAGACTAGGAGGGAAAAGAGTTCGTGATTACTGGCTGTCCTTCAGAGGCGAGGGAGGCGATAGCTTATGGTTGCCTTGATGAGGGGAGGTCTGAGCCAAGATGTGATGTGAGCCCATCAGCGATAGATCCGTCTGACCGGGCTGCATGTCCTGGCCGCCCTGTTGACCAAGTCCGAGAGCTTGCTGGCCGCCGGGCTGGATCAGTCCTTCCTTCATTCGCTTCTTCTGCCTCATGCGCCGGTTCTGGAACCAAATCTTCACCTGGAAGAGAGAAAAAAGGATAGAGTCGGATTCGAGCCTTCGATCCACCTTGTCTTCACTCCTTTCGACTGTACGCGTGCATTCAATCAGCGCCACGCTTCCATTTGATCCATGCAATGGAGAACAAGGGCGGAGGAGGGAAGGATCGAACGAACGGAGGAAACAGCCCTCGACCGCCGCCAGAAAAGGTTGAAGCCAGAAAAGCGGGGCCACCACTGGTCACCTTCGACGTCGTTTTCGTGGTAGCCATATCCGTGGTCTCCGTCGTGGTCAGACGTCGTTGCTGACGTTGTGGACGCAACAGCGATAGCTTCGGGTCGGGCAGCCGTTCCGATCGTGGCGCCTCCCGACGGCCGCATCGCTTGCCGTCCGGACGAGCGGTCGACCGACCGTTTGACGGCCAATTATGTTAATGCTATGTAGTTTAATGGTGATCCGACGAGCGCAACACAATCGAACAGGACGTCTTTACGACTGCGCATGTCAGCTCGTTCCCTGTCTGGTCGGTGGCTCCCTGGATCCCTCGTCATATCCTCATCCATGCATTCATTATTCATTCATTAATTCATTCATTCATTAATTCGGGACTCTGCGATTCATTCAACAAGAAGTTCCATGAGGCGAATCATGTTGCGAACCGACAAAGTTGGGAGCCGCAGACGTTCGAGTTCCCTACGAATATTCCTCAGGACATGAAGTCTTCCTAATTAATTTTCAGAGTGTCCTCTCACCTGAGTTTCGTTGAGTGTCAGGGCGGTGGCGATCTCAATGCGTCTCGCGCGGGTCAGGTACTTGTTGAAATGGAACTCTTTCTCAAGTTCCGTCAGCTGCTTGGTCGTGAAGTTCGTTCTGCCCGTCCCCGCACCGGACCCCGCGCCGCCTGCGCCCGCACCGCCCGCCCCAGCGACGTTTCCGCCGCCGACGCCCGGTGTCGAGCCGAAGCCTCCGCAGTAATCCATCGGTTTGGGAGCTGAAATCGAAACGAAAGGCGTCTCTTAGCGATGCGAATGCAGTCCGATTGAGTAATTTTGATTGACGATGCAACGCAGGCGCCAGTCTAGATTGCCGGCATCTCTCCCTGAAACAGACAGGTATCTACAGTGCCACCAATCGGACTATCTCTCTGAACACCGATACGGCACGGGAGCATTTTTTTGCGATCTGTGGATCGCTCTCACAAGGGGATTATTATCGAAAAAAGTCCGAGTGGATCGAGAGCACTCCGTAGATTGGCTTCTCCTTGCGAAATGTCAGAGAAGAGTTGGACTTGCGGTCTTAGCTACTCAGGACGGACATAATTGGCTGAGTGAGCCGATGGTGCTGCGGTTGTGGCCGGAGCGGTGGCTTTGGCTGCGGCCAGGTAACCTAAGACCGCTTGGATCCATAAGAGACTTCCTTGCCTCATGAATAATTCACTCGACCGCCTGAACGAGCGAACGACCAGCCAACCGACCGCACCATTCCCACCCCAGGGAGAGAAGAGGGAGTCGGTCCATCTCCCCATTCCGCACAAGTTACTAGTCGTCGGAGCCGCAATTTGCATCCGTTCCCTCCCGAGCGGGCCCGGCTTCTTGAATCTCTTCAAAGGGTTCTTCGATCCGACGCCGGCCGTTTTCTCCTCCGATCGATTCTTCGAATCCACAGATTCACGGTTTCCGCGGAGGGCGACACTGGAAGCTTCACTCGAGAAATTCCTAGACACGATATCTAGCCTATCAGCAAGCCGAAGAGATCCGACGAGCTAAAAGTTCCACTTCCTTCCCCCTTCGCTGGGGTTCCTCAAACGTTTCTTTTTAGCAGGTTATCGCTGCTCTAGTGGCTGCCGCAATCGACAACGTGCTCGCATCGACAGAATTCTTCATTTCTGGCTTTCGTGAAGACTTTTGATTCTCCCCAGCCAACGCTCCGTGCTCATGACGTACGTACAAGGCAGAACAACAACCACAACAACAAGAGCAGCAGCGGCAGCCACCGTCTATCCGAAACGCGTACGATGAGCGCCGTCGATGTTTCTGTGGGCGTTTCGAGGCAGACAGGCAGGCAGGCAGCAGCAGTAAATAGCAATTCGCTAGACAAGCGAGCGAATAAGTAGAAGCTCAGAAAGGTTTCAGTGCAGAAACAGGCTTTGCTCGTGTGGCACCGATGGAATCGTATCGATTCACGACTAAAGAGAGCTGGCATCGGAGATGCCCGATGCAGAATCGGTTCCTCCTGACCCTCCTCCATTTTTTCGAATTAGGTATTGCCACGGGAGTCCTGCAATCGTCGTTTGACACGAGAGCCACGAGCTTGATGGGTCTGAGCATCCATCGTATTTTCAGTATTGAGTCGACGGCCTAGAATTAGAACTAGAAGTTCCTCTGGGCCCATACACGCACGCCTCGTCTGCGTCGCTGTCGGTCGATGCAATTCCTGTTCGTAGTTCGTGAGAGTTCGCTTCGCCAGTTTTTCTTCTTGCTTCTCTTCTATCTGTTCGGTTCGTTCGGAACGTTCAACATATGCTGTCGTCGGTCGGTCGGCCACCCTTCTCTGGCTCGCCGCGGCGGTAACAACTCGCCAGCCTGCTCACTGCCTGCCTGCCTGCGGCGTAGTCGATCTGCCAGCCAGGGAGCGAGTGTCTGCTAAGGACGGCCCACTCAAAATCCCAGAAATAAAAGGCGGATCTCCTCCAAAGCGAGAGCCCCAAATTGTTCTGGAGGGGGTGAGACGGCCCGATGCTATTGCTTTTTGGTGTCTGAACTCGCTGGTAGACCTCCATAGTCGAGCCTGGGGCGCTTGCTTGCGTCCAAAAGCTCACCAGAGTCTCACCGAGCGAGCGCGCGCGAGTCTCTTCGACAAATTCACGAAATCGCTCGTCCTGGGCGGGAGTTATCCTGTGCTCCATCTGCTTGCGCTTGTCCGACCTTAACAGACTCCATCGCTGCCCCACAAAGGGCCGGGAAAGGGCCATTCTGATAGCAACTAGAATATCCGAGTCATCATCGATTTTCCCTCGACCGGAAGGGCTCTGTGAACGAAATCACCCTATAGGGTCGCGGGATGGGTCGAAAGCACGATAAATTTCCAAATCGAGGAAAGGAAGATCTGGGTGGTCCGTGTATCATCGTCATCGTATTCGGCTTGACCACGTTTCGGGAGATAAGGCGAATGCGATAACTCTCGAGGGAGGAGGTTTGATCCGACTCGCTCGGTCTGCGATTGATGCGTCGAGCCGACGTCGATTCAGTCTGCCGGTCGAACACTCAGTCTGGAATTCGCGGGGAATGCTCATAGACGATGCGTACCTTCCCTGTCTTACGACACAATGTCTCGTTGCGGAACAACATGCAAAAAAGTCGTTCCGAATGGAGCGGACACGGAATATAGCTTCGATTACTCTTTGTTCGGCTGATTCGATAGGATTCATCAGCAATAAGCAGACGGCCAGCCACGACCAACTCCTCTAAAACCTTTCGCAATCCATAGACCCATTCCTCCGCTAATTCCCTCTCTAGGGGAATGTCTCGATGTCCTGGAGCTAATTACTCCCGCCGCCACCGAAGGTAAGGGAGCGATCGGGGATTGACCAATGGTCTGGCATGTCGACTAGTCAACGGGTTCCTGCTCTTGAGACGCTCTGCAAAGCCGGCTTCCACCAAGCGTGGTGGCAGTTGTAATGGTGTTTTTGCTGTCGTTGTTGTTGTATTATTGTACCGTCAATCATCATGGCTGTCAACCGTCGACGGCGGCGACGGCCTTCGTGTTAGCCGTTACCGTTAGAGCAAAGTCTACTTTGGTGGCAGCCACTGTGTGGCGGCGCAGCAAATATTTCTGTTTTTATGCTTTCGGATACGACTCGACGGACAGTTTGTCCGTCGTGTTCACCGGTCGGAGAGCTAACCGAAGCTGTCATCGTTGTGGACACGCTAAAATTGCCAAGTTAGACCTACTATCGCGCGTTGGTCGAAAGGCAAACACGGGACGGACGGAGGAGAATCCCCATCTGGCTTCGTCAGCCAAATTCAATGGATGACCTGGCAGAAGCGTGCTTCGATTTCATTGATTTCCACGCTTGAGACCTCTGAAGAATAGAATCTGATTCGGAGAGGGGGCCAGAGGTCTGCTTTCGGTCGCTTCCCGAACTGATTTTGTGGAATTGATGGCAAGCACCTTATACACGAATACAAAACTGTCTCTGGGTGATTTCATCAGAGGGCAATGCGATGCCTCCGCTTTCCCATAACTGTATCTTTTGCTAATGAGACAGCTCTTTCTGTTCGCGTGTTCTCTTCTCAACCGTACCACACCCCTTCCATCATTGCTCTACGACTTTGTAAACAGATTAGCGTTATCAGCACGACGTTATCTCTTGCAGTGAGTTATCTGGATGAGAGTACGCGAGTGCGAGCGTGGACTTGTGGACAACACTGACAGTGTTTTATATATTCTCACGCAGGCACTCACTCACACAAGCGGACCACCGGGCAAGCGAGCCGGTGAGCGGGCAATGTACCGATGTATGTACACAGAAGGGACGTGGTACCACATCACATTACGTAGACCGAAGCACATTAACGGCAGGAGGTAACGAGCATTTTGATTCATGGTGATGTCTCAATTCGGCGATAAGCCCGACGCATTTATCACGCTGCCACCACCACTGGTTCGGGAGAAAGTTAATGGTCACCGCAACCTACCGGCACCGGACCGGTATTCCATTAAGCTCCGCATTTCTCTTTACGGAACCAACTGTAGTCGACAACAAAATGTCTGCTTAGGTTCGCCGTTCGTCTTCTCTTGAGAGCTCCACGGAAATTGAGATTTTGTCGGGATGTCTTTTTTCCGCTCCTGGTCTGAACATTCCGAATCGCACGATATTGCTTCCCTCTTGACTGGAGTCGTGGCTCAAACGCGGGCGGTCGTTTCATATCTATTCGGAAAAACTTGCGGTTGTTTCAGCTGAAATCGTTGCGTTTTATTATGGCTTTTAGAGAACGCGCGAAATAAGTAATGCGGTCTCCTTGACGACATCAACTTTCCCGCGTATCAGACGATGCGCTGATGCTTTCAAACAATGGCTTGACGTGTTCAGGTAGCATTTGACAAGTCAAAGTGTCGATTTGGCGATTGTGCCGCCCGTAATGGACTCTCTCGCCTCCTCGCTTCTGTTGGGTAATGGTGTGGAATGGAATCGCTACTATCGCCTCCGCGGGCAGTGTTCGTCAGTCTCGGCAAGAAAGTGTTTTGTTCCTGGGGGGAGTGGATGACCACTCTCTAAAAGGATGCTTGTTTCAATTTTCGCCTCGTCGTCTTCTCGCTCGACGGCTTTCTATCTACGACGAGGACACCACGAACTTTCTTGATTAAGGGTGAGCGATAATGACCTTAGGGAGGAGAAGGAATGGAAAAATGCTCTTCCTCTACGCTCCGTGGGGTTTCACAAGAGATTTGGTAAAGCCACGCTGGACAGCGGAGACATCAAGCCGAGACAGCGGCAGACATGTCAGCCACGATGACGTCGCTGTTCAATCCACCGCTAATCTGGCCCGGTGCTGACAGAGATGCGAGGATTTCCGTCGGAGTCCCGCACACAAATCTGCTCAACATTTGTATTCGCTTATAAGTTTCGCTGCTTCTCAAACGTTCCGACTGCGCCCAGCGCCGGCTAAACTACGTAAACACGGTTTTGTTTGCAGTCGTCCATCACTAAATTGCGTGGCCGAATTTAAATACTCACGAAATCGCGGAATACCCCTCTCTTATCCAGCTGAATCATATTTTCTCATATCTTTTCATCATCTTTTTCTTTTCAATTCGCTTATTGCTCGCACGTCCCGTCGGAAATACTGAGTGTCGATTTTCCGTTGGGCACGCTCCCGCGCTCCCACTTTGTATGCAGCCCTCTGCGTCCACGGACAGCCACCAGTTTGACGGGGGCTTCGGTTACGGCGGCTGTGAACCAGCCGACCGGTCGCGGAGTAGCTCACAGTT